ACGGGTCGCATCCTGAGCCAGTCGGCTATAAGAGCTACTTCTCAAGCAATCCAGAGCGGGTCAAGGGATGCAGTGAACCGTAAAAAGAAAGAAGAAGTGGCAATGATGGCCTCAAGTCTGAGAAATCCCCGTCAACCTCGAGGTTACTTTGGTTCTTCTTCAAGCACCCCACAACATTATTACCCTCACCAAGATGCGGCGTATGCCATGACTCCTCAGCCTTATGTAGTGATGAATGCGTAGCCATACGCTCGGTCATAACAACAGTATAACCAGAACCGAGCTCCACCTCCCAGAAATAACCCTCCTCACAAAGCTCCATATAATCCCCATCCCCACAGAATAATTTTCCATATAACGCCCGTCCCCGTGAACTACCCAGAAAGACCAACTTCACACCCATTGGTGAATCATATTCCAGCCTCTTCCCAGAGTTGGTCCAAACGGGTTTGTTGCAGCCCGTGCCTCTAAACAGGCAAAACCTAGAGTTACCTTCCTACAGACCCGGTACCCGATATGCTTATCATTCAGGGGCAGAAGGGCACGACAATGAGGATTTTTGGACCCTCAAAAGGGCGGTTCAAAACCCAATAGAACAAAAACGGATAGTGATAAGGGATGAAGAGGTCCCCAATGTAACCAATAACCCATTGCCAACTCACAACAACGGGCCAGTTATTGGGATGATTTGTGAAGACAGAGAGTTCGACCAGCTTTGAAAGATTTCATTGCTATTGCCGATGTTGAAAAGAAGCCCAAAGCGGCAGCAAAGCAAGCTAATAATGAGAAGAAGAGCAACTCCACTCCTCAAAGCATAGAAAAGGTTGTGGAAGCCAAGACAGGGGTAGTACCTCCTAAAGATGTCGTTCTTTATGTTCCTAGGGCCCCCCAAAAAAGAACAGTTCGTGTTGAGTCCCCCCAAAAGGTTCGAGCTAAACAAGGTTACACTGAATGGGCCTAAGATGTACGTACCAAAGGGGACTTATGTGGTGCGGGGTCCGATAATTTCACCCAGGCTGAATGATCCCGTGGTTATCAGTCATGCACCACAAAATCCCATAAAGGACCCAACTACCATCCCCTAGAACTACAACAAAACAGTAGTGACGTACAAGGGAAAAGAAATCATGGGGGAAGTAAATGAAACAAACCCGTCTAGGAAGTACCTCAACTTGGAAGAATTGAACAAGACCAAACAGAAGCATTTTCCTCTTAAAAAGCCAGTCAGTGCTGAAAAGGCAGAGGAATTCTTCCAAAAAATGAAAACCTCGGATTACGCTGTGATTGATCAACTCAGGAAGTCCCCCTCCCAGGTCTCATTTTTGTCCCTGTTGATAAGCTCGAATGAGCATCAGAAGGTGCTGTTAAAGATGCTAAATGAAGCATATGTTTGGGTCGAGACCACGGTTGAACAATTGGAAAGAATGGCGGAACGATTTTTTGTAGTCAACCAGATCTCATTCAGTCGAAATGACTTTCCTCCAGAAGGAGCTACCCACAACAAAGCTCTTCATTTGACCATCAAGTGTGAAAGATACTACGTGAAAAGAGTTATGTTGGATGGAGGATATGGGGTTGATATCTGCCCTCCCTTGACCATACAAAGAATGGAAATTGGGACTAAAAGGATTAGGCCCAACAATGTTTGTGTATGTGCATTTGATGGCATCAAAAGTGATACGATAGGGGAGATTGATTTGGTCCTAAACATCAGCCCGGTGGATTTAGAAGTAACATTTTAGGCTTTGGACATGGACACCTCCTACAATTTTCTCTTAGGAAGGCCTTGGATCCATACGGTGGGGGGCGGACCCTCTACTCTCCACCAAATGGCTAAGTTTGAACATGAAAACCAAGAAATTGTTGTCCATGGAGTAGATGAGCAATGAATTTACAAGGACCCGTCAGTCCCATGTCTGGAGGCTAAGGAAGGTAGTCAACACATAGTCTACCAAGCTTTTGAGATCGTGGTCGCATACCAGTGTGAGGAAGGAACCCCGTGTCCTCAACCCTTCTTGTCAAATGTGTCAATCATGGTCGCCAGTGAGATGATCAAACATGGCTACAAGCCCGAGAAAGGGCTCGGGGCAACTTTGCAAGGCATTATAGAGCCTATCACTTTGACTACCAGTGTGAACTTCTTTGGCGTTGGTTCCGAGATATAGAAGCCGACGTAAAATGGGCTAATAAACGTAAGAGCGATGGGTGGATTCTTCCTCAACCGGACCTGCATCATGCTAGAACATTTGTTAAACTAGGGTACATAGAAGAAGATTAAGAAGAAGAAGAAGAGGAGGCCTTCACGGCCGAAGAAATTGAGGATATCTGTGGGGCAATGAGCCAAATGTTATATGAAGCTCATATGGTCCAGCTGGGTGAAGACTCAAGCACTGCTGAGGTGCAGTATACGGGGCCAGATGCCAAACTTCAAAATTAGAAGGCTACCCAGTTCCTAGTCAGGCGGGAATCCTGGTAGTTCAATCTTGCCATCTTTTCTGCATTCTGAGTTATGTTAGGGTGTAACTCGAATGTTCTTTTTAGTTTATTGTCTTTTAAATTCCAATGTAAACCCTTCTATCTTTAAATTCAATGAAATAAAATCAATATTTCATCGTATATTAATCTCTTTTTATTCTTTCTGATTTTTTTTATTTTTCTTATCTCTTTTTTCAGTTCTAATAATGTGGATTAAATAACATGACATGCTAGCGTACTTCATGCCCAGATCATAACACGCTATCTAACTATGAAATAATGAATCAAGAACCAGAATATGATGAAGATGAGGCTTTTAGGGAAATAAACCGAGAACCAAAAAAAATTGAGAATAAGCCTAAGCTGAAATTAAATGAAACTGAGCCAGTTAATTTGGGTAGTTCGAAAGAGGTCCAGGAAACCATGATAAGCATTCATGCTGATGAAAGAACTAGGGATGCATTTATCCAACTTTTGTTTGAATTCAATGACGTGTTTGCCTGGTCCTATGATGATATGCTAGGACTGAGTGTTGACTTAGTGGTGCACAAATTGCCAACTACCCCAGTAATTCCCCTGTCCAACAAAAACAGAGAAAGTTTAAAACATACATCAGTGACAAGATTAAAGAAGATTTCACCAAGCAGTTGAAAGCGTGTGTGATTCGAGTGGTCCGATACACCACATGGTTGGCTAATGTGGTCCTAGTAACAAAGAAAGATGGGAAAACCCGAGTGTGTGTTGATTATCGGGATTTGAACAAATCAATCCCCAAGGACAACTTCCCATTACCAAACATCCACATCCTTATTGGCAACTACGCCAAAAACATGAGATACAGTCTTTCGTGGAATGTTATGCTGGGTATCATCAAGTTCTGATGGATGAAGAAGATGCAGAAAAGATGGCTTTCACTACACCTTGGGGTACTTACTATTACAAGGTCATGCCGTTTGGTTTAAAGAATGTCGGGGCAACTTACATTAGAGCTATGACTGCTACTTTCATAACATGATGCACCAGGAAATTGAGGTGTATGTAGATGATGTGATCATTAAAACAAGAACGCTGGACGACCATGTGCGGGATATGAGAAAGTTCTTTGAGCGTCTGCATAAGTATGACTTGAAGTTAAATCCAGCTAAGTGTGCATTTGGAGTATGATCTGGGAAACTTTTAGGGTTTATAGTCAGTCAGAGAGCATCGAGTTAGATCCAACAAAGATAAAGTCTATTCGTGATTTGCCACCTCCAGAACCAAGAAAAAGGTTATGAATCTATTGGGAAGGTTGAATTACATCAGCAGATTCATTGCTCAGTTGACTTCCACGTGTGAGCCCATATTTTAAGTTTTTAAAGAAAGATGCGGCGATTAGATGGACAGATGAGTATCAGGAAGCTTTCAACAAAATCAAAGAATTTCTGTCGAATCCGCCAGTGTTGGTTCCACCCGAGCCTTGAAGGCATTTATTTTTGTACTTGACAGTATTGGAGAATTCTTTTGGATGTGTTCTTGGGCAACATGATGTGACCGGGAAGAAAGAACAAGACATATACTATTTGAGCAAGAAGTTCATTAGTTATGAAGCCAAATATACTTTGTTGGAAAGAACTTGATGCGTCATAACTTGGGTCGCTCAGAATCTTAGGCATTACTTGTTGGCCCGCACCACCTATATCATCACCAGATTGGATCATCTGAAGTACATATTCCAAAAGACGATGCGCACAGGAAGGTTAGCGAAATGGAAAATGCTGCTCTCCATGTTTGACATAGTCTATGTCACCCGCACGGCAATAAAAGCTCAAGACTTGGTGGATCACCTAGCTGAAAATCCTATTGATGATAAGTATCAGCCTTTGAGTTCTTACTTTCTAGACGAGGAAGTAAATTAAGTTGAGGTAATTCTAGAATACACCAATGCTTGGAAAATGTTCTTCGATGGAGCTTAAATGCAAAAGGTATCGGGATTGGGGCAATTTTGATTTCGCCCACTAGTCAGCACTATCCGGCCATAGCCCAACTTCGATTTTTCTGTACGAAGAACACTGCCGAGTATGAAGCCTGCATTATGGGCATGAACATGGCAATCGATCAGGATGTGAAAGAATTGTTAATCATGGGAGATTCCAACTTGATTATTAGACAAGCTCGAGGTGAATGGGAAACTCGGGATATCAAGATTATTCCATACATGCAACATGTGGAAGAACTTAGCAAGCGGTTAAAATCTGTCGAGTTCAGGTACATTCCTCGGTTTCACAATGAGTTAGTCGATGCACTAGCTACTTTGGCCTTGATGCTTCTATTTCCAAGCAATGTCCACATTGACGCACTAGAAATCCAAATTCGAGAAAGACATGGTTATTGCAATGTAGTTGAGATAGAACCAGATGTTCAGCTATGGTATCATGATATCAAATGATTCTTGAAAACAAATTAATATCCGGAACAAGCTAGTGGAGACCAAAAGAGAACCATTAGAAGGCTCGCCAGTAGTTTCTTCTTGAGCGGAGAAGTCTTGTATACAAGAACTCCATATTTGAACCTCTTAAGATGCGTGGATGCCCAAGAGGCCGGAAGAATCATGAATGAAGTGCACGCAGGATTGTGTGGACCCCATATGAATGGATACGTCCTTGCGAAGAAAATCCTTCAGGAAGGTTATTACTGGATGACCATGGAAAAGGATTGTTTTAGTTTTTTCTGAAAGTGTCATCAGTTTCAGGTACATGGTGACCGTATTCATGCACCGACTTCAGAATTGCATCATATATCGGCACCGTGGTTGTTCGTTTCTTGGGGTATGGATGTCATTGGGCTGATCGAGCCAAAAGTTTCTAACGGGCACAGATTCATTTTAGTTGCCATTGACTATTTCACAAAGTGGGTTGAATAAGTCACTCTCAAAGTCGTCACCAAGAAAGCAGTGGTGGACTTCGTGCATTCCAACATAATCTTTCGTTTTGGTATTCCATAAACTATCATTATGGACAATGTTGCAAATTGGAACAGTCATTTGATGAGGGAGGTATGCGAACAATTTAAGATCACGTATCGGAATACTACCCCTTATCTTCCTAAAGCTAATGGTGTTATTGAGGCAGCGAACAAAAACATCAAGAAGATTCTTAGGAAAATGATTCAAAGTTCTAGACAACCGCATGAAAAGTTGCCTTTTGCATTGTTGGGATATCGTACAACCGTGTGCACATCAGTTTTGGAAACCCCCTACCTATTGGTTTATGGCATTGAAGCTGTAATACCCACAGAAGTTGAAATTCCATCTCTGCGAATCATCGTTGAAGCTAATATTGAGGACAATGAATGGGTCAAAACCCATCTAGAACAGTTAACTTTGATTGATGAAAAGCAGATGGACGCAGTTTGCCATAGCCAGTTGTATCAACAAAGAATGGCCCGTGCCTACGACAAGAAAGTGCGGCCTAGGAACTTTTAAGTGGGGCAACTCCTTTTGAGGCGTATTCTCCCGCATCACAAGGAAGTAAAAGAAAAGTTCGCTCCAAATTGGAAAGGCATGTACATTATAAGAAAATTGTTGACAAAAGGGGCATTGTACTTGGGAGACATTGAAGGAAATGACCCCGAAACAATTGTCAATGCGGATGCGGTCCAAAGGTATTACGTTTAACCCTTCTACGGTGCAGGTATTCTCCGATTGGGATGATGAAGGATTTCATTCTCACTACCCAAACACTGTTAACCCTTTGCAAACCCTTTGAGCCGGTTACCTTTCTTTGACTACCCTCTTTGGAACCCGAAAATGTTTTTAAAAAAAGAAGAAGAAAAGACAAAACAAAACAACAACAGAAAAGAAAATAAAAAAAAAACAAGGTTTCCTAAACTACGTTCGACTTGATTCCGAAAGGATACGTAGGCAGTCTCACTCTGGGGTTCAGTCATACCAAAACAAAAATTCACATTTCCCCAAAGTTGAAACTAGGGCAGAAGTTATAATGGTTCGGCGACGGTTCGCCTAAAAGGTTCCAAGGTTGTAATTCAATCCAAAAGCTTTTTACCCCAAATCCTGTTCAAGTCCTTATGATATATCGGTAAAGATGTTTGAAATTGGAGACTGTGGTTACTTGGATCTGATACAGTCAAATGAGAGAAATAAAATGAAAGAGTCTTATTGGTGAAAACCCACACGGGCACCATAAGGCGATGGTAAGCAAAGAAATTAAAAATGAGAGAGTCTTGTTAGTGAGAACTCACAAAGAGCACTATAAGGCGATGATGAGAAGATAAATGAAAGAGGTCAGTTGGTGAAAACCCGTAAAGGGCGCCACTAATCAAAAAAGGAATCCCTTACAACCATCCGCACTAATAGAGTCCTGGCAAGGTTTCTCGGTGTTGAGGTATGAGTTATAATAGGTATGTGAGAGTTGGATGGTTTGCACATATAGGGTATCCAGTCCAAAAAGCATGTCATATCTATTGAAGTCTTCATGCACTCCAGATAACTCCTTCTTTCCTTTCCCTGAAAGGGACACTTCTCATTTAAATTCATTATACTATCTGTTGTTTACTTTTCTTTGATCCCTTTCCGTCTAATTCTCCTCCAAAACTAATACAAAGAAAAGATGGTAAGAATGGTTTTACAGGGTTTTGTTTGACAGAAAGCTAAAATTCAAGAAAAGCACCCAGCCTCAGCATGTGCATCAAGCCGACCTCGACTGGCCATGATGGCCAATGCTCCAAAGTCGAAAACTCTTGAAAAGGAAAGAAATCAAAGTCAAGGGCCCATAAAGGCAAAATAAGATGAAAAGGACAAAGCCTCACACGTGTTAACCATCATGTGGAATTTTGGAAAGTCAATATCCCTGGGTTTAGAAATGAAACCAAATTCCAGAACGTCAGCAAGAAATGGAGATTTTGTTGAAAGAGTCGGGCCAAGATCAAGTCATTGAAACAATCAAGGCCACAAAACCAACCACTGTTTCAAACTAACAAAGTGTTCTTTGATTTGAAAACAGGAAAATAGGCATAATCCAAAACAACCTCGCAAGAAATAGGAACAATAAAAAAAAGGTACGCAGAGACCAAAACGGTCCTGCAGCAAAAGTTAACCCAAAAAGGGAAGTCCCTTTCAAATTATTCATTCGTTCTCATGAATAGAATGCTAAAAGTGAAATGAAAAGAAAGAAGAAGGAAAATTCAAAACCATGGTAGCATAGGGTCTCCAATCTCTAGCTAAGTTTTTCCAACATAGGGTCCCACCCCCTAGTCCTATAACCCGATGACTTCCCCGGCATAACCCGAGGACCTTCTCCAGCATAACCCGATGACTTCACCGGCAAAACTCGAGGACCTTTCCGGCATAACCCAATGACTTCCCCGGCATAACCCAATGACTTCCCCGGCATAACCCGAGGACCTTTCCGGCATAACCCGATGACTTTCCCAGCATAACACTAGGACCTTTCCGGCATAACCCGATGACTTCCCGGCATAACCCGAGGACCTTTCTGGCATAACCCGAGGACCTTTCCGGCATAGCCCAATGACCTTCCCTGGCATAACCCGAGGACCTTTTCCGGCATAACCCGATCACTTCCCCGGCATAACCCGAGGACCTTTCCGGCATAACCCAATAACCTTCCCGACATAACTCGAGGATCTTTACGGCATAACCCGATGACTTTCCCGGCATAGACCGAGGACCTTTCCAGCATAACACGATGACTTCCCCGGCATAGACCAGAGACCTTTCCGGCATAACCCGATTACTTCCCCGGTATAACCTGATGACCTTTCCAGCATAACCCAATGAATTTCCCGGCATAACCCGAAAACCTTTCCGTCATAACCCGATGACCTTCCCGGCATAATCCAAGGACCTTTCCGGCATAACCCGATAACTTCCCCAGCATAACCCGAGGACCTTTCCGGCATAACCCAATGACTTTCTTGACATAACCCGAGAACTTTTCCGGCATAACCCGATGACTCTTCCAGCATAACCTGGTAGTCTTTTCTAGTATAGGGTCCCACTCCCTAATCACTTTTCTCAAAGATACACAATCATAATTTTATTTCTTTCAATAAAGAAGTAGTTTAAATTATTTTAAAATAACTCACGAATTTTTCCTAATGAAAACAGGAACAGAACAATTTCATTTGTTTATTCGCTTTGGTGCCTGAACAGGTTTTTACCATAAGGAACAAGGTTCGAGATGATCAAAAGAGGATGTCTCAATCCGAATAAAAGGAAATAAAAACAAGAAAAGAAGTTGAACTCTAAGTATAGAAGCAGGGAAAAGATGCAAACTACTCAAGATATGATTGAAGTCATAAGCTTTGCATGCCCCACCTTGATCTGAAAAGCTAAAGAAGAATGAACCAGCAATTTGCAGCTAATGAGCATCAAGATTCAGATCAAAGTCTGTAGGAAGAACCAGCCCAAGACTCACGATCTCACTTTAGAAGGTTTATAGATAGGAATCTTGTAAATCGTAGTTGATAGACTTAGCTATTTTAGCTTTTCATCTTTTATTTTGGTGTAATAAGGAGCTCAGCAAGCAGAAACAACAACAACGATAGTGAAATAACAGTTTTTCGGTAGTCCCCAGCTACCAAAACTTCTAGAACTACAGTGACCCGATTCCTTTATATCCAAGGATATGTAGATAACCTCTGAAGCAAGGTTCGATCAGAGGTTTTTCAAAAAATTACTTCCTATGGAGTTTCAAACGGGCAAAATTCGCTCGTAGTTGCTCATTTTATCTTTTCCCGAAAATTCTTCGTGTTTCTGAGCAAGGAGGGGCCGTTGTGAGCCTGCGATTTTTGCCCTATTTAAAATACTCCTACAAAATTAAAGGAATAGATTTTTTCCAATTGTTTGCAATTTTATTGGATTTTTGTAAGATTTTATTAATTGTTTGCATCTTTGTGCATATTTAATTTTTATAAAAATCATGAAAATGCCCCAAAAAAATGTCAAAAACATCATGCATTGCAAATTAAATTTTGTGTTCATATTTTTGGATTAATTAGTTAACTAATTGCTTTATCAAAATAAAAAAATCAAAAAAAATTGCTCGTTTTTACATTTTAGCTTTTAATTTTAGATTTGTAATTTCCTCTTCATTAATTAAGGATTAACTAATTTTTGTAAATATTATAAATAGATAATTATTTTAATTTTACAAATTAAATTAATTTAGGATTTTAATTAATTAAATAAAGGAAAAAGAAAAAGAAATTGGAAAAAGATTTAATTTGGTCTTGAAATTGGGCCAAATTTTGTACCCAAACCCAGGCCCAATACCCAAATATACCCGGTCCAACAACCCCAGCCCCAAAATGATGTCGTTTTCTTATCTTTCAATCATAGCCGTTGGATTCTTTTGATCCAACGGCTCGGAACTGGTTACTCAATTACCTTAAAATTGCCCGACCCCC